CTCTCGGCAAACCGGCGCCTATTCTTTGAAATCCGGAGCAAAATACTATCCCTGGACCAGACCCTATCGCTGGTGAATGTGGTGGACATATCGGTGGCCATATTGGTCATAATGGTGATGATCTACTCATTGGCCCAAAACGACCCTCTCCTCAAACAATACGCCACTCTATTCGCGTTCAGCACTCTATCGGAAATCTCTAAACTAGTGATCAATTGTTGGTCTAATGGTTTGCTGCACACCAAGAGTGAAGAGATAATGACTATACTCGACGGTATGGCACCCGAGATGTTGGACGAGCACGAGTTCAGACAGTTACTCACGTTTAAGACAATGGCCCGGGAGGTGAGGTTCGGGTTCACTATAGGCGGGTTCGCACCCCTTAAGAAAACTACTTTATTAACGGTATTGTAATTATGAGTGAATATAAAAGTTTATGTTTTATTTTTTAATTATATTTCTTTTATTTGAATAGATATTCTGTTTTATGATGAATTATACGGTAATACTCGTACAAACAGCCAGTCAATCAAAGGCACATTGAGTACAGTATGTATAAAAGCAATGACAAATGGGTTTTATTGCCTACTTATTAGTAGTCGTATATAATTATATAGTATTTTATTATTAAATTTGTTAAATTACTTAATACAGTATATCGATGTAAAATATTATAGTACTGTATTTCGAAATAATGCAATCAATACTAACATTTAAGTTGTTATCATTGATAGGTATACAAAAAAGTGTACGCTATATCAAAGTAAATCATATATAGCAAACATTATTATGTAGTTTGTGTTTATTTAAATGCTTGATATTTATAAATCTGTTGTAAATAGAAATTAGTAAATAATTTGATTACACTATGCTTTATATAAAGTGTAAACAGTAACAATTTATAATTGTATTTAACCAATTAAACATAGTGATTATTTGCCATGATAAAACATATCAAATACAGTAAAATACAAATAGATAACTTGTAGTCCATTTCAATAAATAAGGAAGTTGTAAAATATATAAATTGTTTATTAAAGGTATACAAAATGCTTTGATTTTATCAGAAACATATTGTCATTTATAATATTAAATTAGCAACAATAATAATAATAATAAATAGTATTAAAAAGTAAACATATAAAATGCAAAAAGGTTTTCCGACACCGGGAATCGAACCCGGGCCTGCTGGGTGAGAGCCAGCTATCCTAACCCCTAGACCATGCCGGATACGATGAATATAAACAGTTATATTAGCACATGTGCACACTTTACAGTTAGTTTTGCTAATTATAGCACTTTTGCCGTGAATTTGTGAATTATCAGCAACGCTGACATTGTATTTCATTAGATATGCTTAACAGCAATAAATCTAAGAAATTATAAACTTTTCAGTAATATTTCGCATAAAACACACCCTTTTATAATTTAATCACATGTTATATATTGCTTGTAATAACCGGTAATAGAGTAGATTATATTACTATTATAATACTATTGTACAGTACTCTTAGTATAATTTGTAATATGTTGTAAATGTAATACTGTACAGTACTGTACCACATGTACTCTAATAAATGTAACAGGTGAGATTGTAGACCATAATAAATAGTTGTGACAATTGCATGCTGAATAGCCAGTAGACTACCGTTTCGTATGGGACTGTCGGCTATACTGTTGAGTAGATTAGTGTGTTTTACAGCAATAGTTTTTCTACTGATAAGAGATAGTTGTTTTAACAAATCTGTTTGAAATTTATGAAAACATTTTTATTATCACTATTACTATAAGACTTATAGTATAAGTGTATTACAAATAACTATTAAATCTATGCTTTTAATGTGAACACTTAATAAAGTATTTCGTATAACATTGAACACAATCAATCGGTTTTTAATGTGCAGTATATTTGGTTTGATTTTATGTTCTTATATTAAGTTTTCGAAAATATTTTCATAAATGAATGTTAAGTCAAATATCAAAAGACACTGTCATTGGGCTATACGCTAGTCGAGGACTTACATAGAAAACTATTAGATAACGCATAGATTTTTTAAAGGAAAGGGTTAGAATACCAGGGACTTGGCACCGGTATTAATAGCTCTTTAGTGCTTATATATAAATATTATAACTGTTGAACCAAAATATTTAAGATAAAATTTAAATAATTTATGAAATGATGTACTCACACAGGTTTATATCACACCTCTAAATTGTTTAAATAAACTTACTATAAGTTGTAATACAGATATACCGGTGTTTTACGATATACTAAACATTTATGGGCGATAGATTGAGTCCAAATTACAGTACTCTATCGTTATTGTATGTATTTATATTTATATGATCTTGTTTATTTCAATTAAACATAAGTCTTACGTTGCGTTGCACCATAGCATACAAACACAAGAATTACCAGAATTAGTGTTTTAAATGCAATTCTTGTGGTTATATCGATACAATTGTTATGGTTATATCAAATGAATTACTTTGGAATTAACACCGAATTAGTGTCAGGATTATTGTTATATGATATGAAAAATACATTACAGAATCACTGTCTCATAGCTCACCACAATCTCTCTCTCTCTCTCTCTCTCTCTCTCTCTCTCTCTC